GTGCCAAGTTATAGTCGCTGCTTTGAACTGTTCTCTTTTGGCATATTGAGTGTAACAAAGTTTTTTGGACATCCAAGGCCATGCTTAAGTATACCAAGCTTTGAATATCTAGAATATTAAAATATGCAATGTTTACTGGATTGCATTAATATTCTTGCTTATAAAATTAAAATTAATTGGCATAATAAAATTTTATTCATTTTTATTTATTTTTTTTATCGTTAAAAAATGTCCAAAAATGTATGGTTCCTACGTAAATTTCATTAAACAAAATATAGTAGATTCAAATTGTGCATAAAATTTGATGTAAATGGTAAACTACAACAAAGGCCATTTTAAGTGAGAATATCCCATGGTAAATATATGATCCTCAACATCACTAATTAAAATGATATAATTAGCACAGGTTCATTATAATTGAAATTAGGTTATTAACAGTTAATTGCAAGCTCAATCAGCATTCGCTATCTGGTCAATTGAATACTGATAAAGAAAACCATCAATAACTAGTACAGATTCAGCAAATTTGGTAGCCAATTAATCTAGTTTAACTAAGGTGAACCTATACTGACCAGTGTATGAGTAATCAAATGGAATAAGCAGAAAAAAAAAACTAAAAAAAATATTTCTCTTTACAAAGTTTCAAGTCTCAATTACTTTGAGATTCTTACATTACTTATTGGATTTATGTGAAAATTATATAGAACAGAAACATAAAAAAATGTTGTTTTTTTTCTTTGTTTTTAAAGTTCTTAAAATCCATTATGATAAAATTTCATTAGGATTTCTAAAGCTTTTTCTATTTTAATTCAATTATCGTGAGGAAATAAAATAATATCTAATACAATTAAATTAACATTTTGGTGTCATGCTTTTTTACTAATTTGGAATATTTCGTAGTCCTCTAATGAAAAATAGGATCTATTAAACCTATCTACAGGTCATTTCTAATTGGCTTTTCATATGAATTATGTTGACACCAACTTTTATTTATATTATTAAAACTAACAAGATCATAATCAAACCCTGGTCCACCAATACTATTATTCAAAATAGTTTTATGTTGTGGTTTTGCACGGCTCAAGATTGAATTTTGATTATTACCATTTCTTAATGAAAAAATAAAACACTTATCGCAATATTTATAGCTATAACCTTCAGTAGGATTTTCCCACCCAATAGGATTATAACCACCAAGAATTTCATCAGTGTCTTTAACTTTTAAAATTAAAACAACACTATCATTCTTGTCACATAAATTCCAAAATACGTTAGCAGTAAAACCATCTCTGCTTCCGCGAATGAGTAATCTAAATTCATATGGATTATTTCTCGTAGTATATGTGGTAGTTTTTTTATCAACCCACGAAGCAATTTCTGCTGCATGCTCTTCGTTAATAATTGTAGAAAATGGTTCTGTCATTCTTACTGGTAATATTGGTGTTAAAATAATACGAGGTGGAAGGATTATTGATGATATTGGTTGGTTCGGATCCACAATCCTTTTCATTATATCTTTCCAAAGATTTTTTTCTAGGATTGGTTGATATGGTTGCACATTATCAACAATGTCATTACCAGATATTTGAAAGTAACGAATAAGAGGTAAACAATTTTGTAAAGTAGTTTTTAACGTTTGAAAATTTTCAAGAGTCCAATCTTCAGGATCTGATGGTAAGCCAGGATTTTGAGCAATACCCCATTTAATAACATAATCCCAAATTTTTCCTTCTTCCATTTGTAAATCATCTCGTTTAAGAAGAGAAATTAATGCATTTCCTGAAGAGAAATAAGGTCTTCAGATTCAAAGACCTTATTTGGATATTTTACTATAATATCATTGCACCATTTTTGCAATTCTTGAAGTTGGTTATGTTGAAAACTTTTTTGATAAATTTCAGAGAAATGTAAACGAAGCCAATGAGATTGCTCTTTAATCAAGTAAGATTCAAGGTAAATAGTCAACTCTTTAAGGAAAAACTCAATAGCGAAAACATTAACTTAAAAATAAATGCCGCATCATGTTCTTCTAGTAAAATTACACCTCCGTAGATATATCTTTATTAAATTAAGAATTCAATAACTTTTTTAAACAATATAAAGCAAAAATCAAAATAAATTAAAATCCATTAAATAACTTACTTAATAATGACTTCAAATTGTTGAATGGAAATAGCTTTAAATTGATTGTTTTAACATTATTTTCATCTTTGTTAACGGCTGCTAACTCATTACGAAAGTATAGAGATCTATATTTCAAAATAGCCGAATGTGCTTGGAATATTTTAGTGTTAGGAGATTCTCCAACTTTAATTATAATATTGAAATCTTCTTTATCATTGAGTAATTCAAGATAATTATTTGAAAGTTTGTCAAGAAATTTCACTACCATCTCTAATAATTATAAATGAGTGCAAATTCGGATTTGGGTTAACTTTTATTTTATTTTAATACAGATCAATACTATATCTGTACTATATTAAGGGAAAGTATAGCCATAAAAGATTACTTACTGTGCCCAATTAATAATCGAACAGTATTATAGATGAAAAGTATTATAGTTAAAATTGTTTTTATTACCAAATTCTTGTTTTTTTTTGTATTGAGCCTAGCCTTAGACTTTTATTCGGGATTTATTAATTAATAATAAAAAAATGTTTACGTGTATATAAAATTTAGATAATAATATGATTTCTAATAAGTTGTTAAAATTTATCTTTACATACAATTATGATAATTGGTGTTTATTTAAATTCTTGAAAATCATTTTATTCATATTTATAAATGTCTTCTAAGCTTAAACGTCAAGACTTGGTATTTATAGAGGTAAATCTTTGGCAGGTTCCAATAGAGTTATTCGGAATTATCCTATTTCGAAAAATGCATAAAATTTGCTAATTTTCCTACTACTTCTGATTGGTTCTACTAATTATAACATGAATGTGTAACATGAAATGTGAGAGGGATTATCTTTTTGGATGTTACGTACATACCTATACTTATTTTGAAAAATCTTTCTTTTGGTAAGAATAATGACTTTCATTTATTCGTTTTTAGAAAGTGCTAATACTTTTACATTTTACATGGCTATGCCATTATGTGATTGCGATGAATTGCTGCTGCATATGTGCATACATATGACTGCGTGAAAATAATAACACTATGCCATCTTGATTCGGAGTTCGTTTTTTGAATGGTCACCTGTAAATTATTGCATAGTTTTTTTGTCGTACGGTGCAGGAAACCTAAAAACTTCAATCATTTTATATAGAATAAAGGTTAACTAACTCATTGAAGATAAACTAAATTTGTCACCTCAATAGCATGCTATTGCGTACATATTGTTCTTTGCTTATTGAGATCGATAATTTAGGTTATTTATTTTCGGTGTGCTGCTAGTTCATGCATAGTAATGATATGATCCGTTGATCGACAATCCGGATAACTGTTTGAAATCTGCAATCTGTATGCATTTTTCAGATCAACTACTCGAACTAACTTGAAACTGCAGTTAACTAGTAGGGTAGCTGCGCGACGCAGTCGCGCTAAAACCGGGAACGTGGTACAATTACAATATTAGCACTAAGTAATAACACTACAGTTCGTATGCTGTTTTTTTTGAAAATTAGTATTTTTTAGCAGCTGATGTTGACTTGAGGTCACTATAATAGGAATAATGATTTTTTATTCATTTTTAGAAAGTTATGATTTTCAATTGTTTAGCGTTCGATTGATAATTATGTATAAGGTAAGTATAATACTTACCATTATAGAAAATGTAATAATCCTAACACACCATGACATTTGTCGTGTATACGAGATCGTAGTATAAATATATAATAAAAAAATAGCAGCGCAGAAAGTGATGCCGCGCAGTACGATTACACGTGCAAATAAAATCCAAAATACACATGATAGCTGCTCACTAAAACTATGTTTAGTTTAATCACCATCTGGTGATATACAGTATATGCGATTTAGTTAGTTGCATTCAAATTATCATGATTTCTATCATAGGTTTTAGTAAAAATCTTCTTTCAAAACTTATTCAACATCACATTAATACACGGAATGTGTTAAGATCTAATTAGTTTATATCGGAATTATCGCATTTCTATCATGAGTAACCATAAATATTCTTGTAAAAACTTACTCATTATACCGGTGGTATATAATATTTAAGATTGTATTGAATTTGTATTAGAATTATCATAATTTCTACTGCGAATTACTGTAAAGTATTCTGTTACAGAATTTGCTAATATTAAGGTTTAATAAGTTCGGATTGAAATTATCATGATTTTCATCATTAGTTGTTGTAAGGATCTTGTACTAGTATTAGAAAACTATAAGAAATAAATTTACTAATAGACTTCTAAATGTATTTAATGACGGTGAGTATGACGAGTAAAAATATAGCTTTATATATGAAATACGGTTTTCTTAATGTTGAATATAAATGTAAATAAATTAAATCAATCATAAATAGTTCTATAAATTGATATAATAGATTTTAACGTAATTGTAAAATAATATACAAGTCATTATTTTGTGAATAATAAAGATCTAACCAAACTTCTATAATGCCGTTAAACGTGCTAGCACACTATTAAATGTAAAATTACAATGTAATTTATGTAATTTTTAATCCTATCTATAGGAATAATTTACATCTTCATGCTTGCCAAAATCAACTTAAAGTCGGCCTGCTTCAATATTATAGATTTGTAACTTACAATACCAGCAAATTACATTGTTAAGCAAGTTATTTACAACTTTAGATTTTTGTACATTTGTAATAAAAAATAAACAAGTTAATTAACGTCTCAAATGTTATAATAACGATTGATGCTAATGTTAAATAAATTTTATTTATATTATTTTTTTAAGATTTAATAATACAGTATTAAGATAGTACATTATATCTTAAGTTGTGAATATTTAAATTTTGCGGTTTAATGTTCTTGTAACCTTCCGCTTTACTTTCACTTTTGTTAGTCTCATGGGATAGTGATTGCTTCGCTGAAACCACCTTCGTTATCACCTCGACGTTTCTTCTTATCACTTGATCCTGATACATCACTGGAGCCTGATACATCACTGGAGCTTGATCCATCACTGGAGCTTGATCCATCTTGACGTTTCTTCTTATCACTTGATCCATCGTTGGATACATCACTGGAGCTTGATCCATCTTGACGTTTCTTCTTATCATTTGATCCATCGCTGGATCCTGATACATCACTGGAGCTTGATTCATCTTGACGT